TCGTACTTGGTCACGACGCCCTGCTACAGGTGTGCGCCCGCCCCCCCGTTCTACCCGTTGTGCAGCGAGCGCGCAGGTGGTGCGGGTGCACAGGGCTGGCTCGGGCCAGACGCTGGTTCTCTCCCAGGGCCAGAGGCTGGCGTGGACCCCGCCTTATCCCACAGTCCCTCCGTGTGTGTCTGTGTCCTGACCTGCTCTTTTTAGGACACCGGTCATATTGGATTAGGGTCCTGTCTCCAAAAACAGTCACATTCTGAAGTCTAGGGGTCAGGATTCAACATGGGAATTTGGGGGCGGGTATGGGTTAGTCCATGGCCTCTCCTAGGACTCTCAGAGACCCGGCGCTGCAGACACCCAAAGGAAGGTACCACCTGGAGGGGGCTGGGGAGCCTGCCTGTCCTCAGCCTCCCTGTGCTGTGTCCTTCCCGCAGTGACGCCTTTGCCAAGTTGTTGGAGTCTGGGGACCTGAGCATGAGCTCGATCAAAGTCGATGGCATTAGTATGTCCTTCCAGAACCTTCTGGCAAAGATCTGTTTTCACCACCATTTTTCTGGTAAGAGATGGGATGTGGCCCTTAGCGCCTGTGTGGTGGTCCCCCTGCTCCGTGCGAGCCGGCTCCGGCCTCACGCACCCCCTCCGTTGCAGTGGTGGAGAGAGTCGACTCCTGCGCCTCCATGTACAGTCGCTCCATCCAGGGCCACCACGTCTGCCTCCTGATGAAGAAGGTGAGCCCGGGGGGCGCGTGCACCTCCGCCTGAGCTGTCGGGTCCACGTGGGAATGGTCTGCTGCTTCTCTCCTTTGGTGTCCACGGGGTCCGTGGCCATGCCTCCCCTCGTTCCAGACGTGGACAGTGTGTGTTTCCTCATTTTTCTTGGTCATCCTGGCAAAAGGTTTATCAGTTTCCTCAATTTTTTTTTTTAATGACCTTTTTAAGGGCGCCTGGGGGGCTTAGTAGAGAGTCTGACTCTTGATCTTGGCTCAGGTCTCGATCTCGGGGTCGTGAGTTCAAGCCCCACGTTGGGCTCCACGCTGGGTGTGCAACCTACTTCAAAATAAAACTAACTTTTTAGAAACTTTGCTGTGTTTTTATAAGCAATAAGTAAGTTTTGTGGAGTTCTGTACTTTTTCTCCTTTCTGCCCACTTTGGGTTTATTTTGCTCTCTTGTATGTTGGTTGAGGTGGGAGCTGAGACTTTGCTTCTCTCACGTGGTGTTTAATCTTACACATTTCCCTCAAAGCAGCCCATTAGCTGATCCCCACAAATTTTCATACGTCCCATTTTCATATTTCTGTAGCGTTCACAACATTTCCTGATGTCTGTCCCCAGTTCTGTGAGCCACAGGTTACTGAGAAGTGTGGTGTGTTTGGATGGTTTTCTACTCCCTCTGGTTGGAGGACGCGCTGCTTCTGTTTTCAGGTTTTTGAAAGCGTTGAGGTTTGTGTCCTGGCTGCAGACGTGGTCACTTGTGGCGGGTGGCGTCCTGTGGGTGCGTGGAGATGGTTGAGTGCTCTGCCCATAGAGTGGACCGCCCCGTGGCAGTCACCAGGCCCCGCTGGCAGCGGTCCCGACTCCTCTGGGTCCCTGCAGGCAGGGTCACCGGCTCCGCACCCCCAAGTGAGCGGCGCGCAGGCTGCCCATTCCCCGTGCCGTGGGGCTCAGTCCGTGTCTGCTGGTGGGTGTGTCGACGAGCGTCACGGCGTCTTGACCCTCAAAGTTCCCTCTTCCTCTCACGGGGTTTACTGTGCCATCCAGTCCTTTGATGTCAGACAAAAAGCCCCTCTTGCTGTCTTGTGATCGGTGTTGACGTGGTGTGTCTGTCTCTTGCTGGTGGGAGTGCTGTCCTCGGGAGCCACGTGTTCTTGGGGCTGCGGGCACTTAGCCCATGCCCGGGATTCCTCCTGCCGCCTTCCCCGTCTGTGCCTTCCAGTTCCGCACCAGCCTCTCTCTCCTGCGTCTTGGGCTGAGCGTTTGCCCCCCCACCCCGGCCCCTTGGCCCTGTGGTCACCCTCCACACGCTGGCCGTCTATGGGCCCCGCGGGTCCTTCCCCGGACTAGTTTTCCTGGACCTTCTCTCGGTGTTTTCAAATCCTACCACTTCCAGGGCGCCCGGCTGGCTCCATCGGAGCATCTGACGCTTGATCTCGGGGTCATGATTTCGAGCGCCACGTTAGGGGTAGAGATGGCTTAAAAATAAAATCTTTCCAAAAACAAATTTAAAGTCGTGCCCCTTCCTTTTGCAGCCGAGTATTCTTGCTAAGAGCCCCGGCCCTCAACCCTTCCTGGTGGGAGGGCGCCGTTTGCCGCCCTGCAGGTTTCTCTGCCGGCAGCTGCAGCGTCTGGGCAGGACTGCTCTGGGGCTGTCTAGCCATTGGGAGTCTGCTCACTTCTTGAATGTTTGCATTTTCACATGTTTTGCAAAATTTTGGAAGTTTTTAGCTATTATTTAAATCCTTTCTCAGGGTGGCTCAGTCGGTTGAGTGTCCAACTCCTGGTTTTGGCTCAGGTCACAATCTCAGGGTCGTGAGATCAAGCCCTGCATGGGGGTCTACGCTCAACAGGGAGTCTGCTTGAAGATTCTCGCATGCATGCACGCTCTCCTTTCCTCCCTCTCTCTCTCTCTCAAGTAAATCAATCATTTTTTTAAAAACCCTTCCTCGGCACTGGGTTCTTCTTCTTGTCCCTGTGGTGTCCCAACAACAGGCATCTGGGACGTGTGTTCCCATCCCTGCCCGCCCCCACCTTCTGTTTGTCCCGGTGGGGCTGTCGTAGCCATCATGCCACCTACCCAGTGCGTGTTTCATGTTGAAGGTTGTGTGTTTGGATCTAGAATTTCCATGGGCGGGGGGGGGGGCGGGGCGGAGGGGTGCGCCTGGGTGGCTCAGTTGTTAAGCGTCTGCCTTCAGCTCAGGTCATGATCCCGGGGTCCTGGGATCGAGCCCCGCATCGGGCTCCCTGCTCGGCGGGAAGCCTGCTTCTCCCTCTCCCGCTCCCCCTGCTTGTGTTCTCTCTCTCTCTCTCTCTCTCTCGTTGTCTCTGTCAATTAAATTAAAAAAAAAAAAAAAAATCTTAGAATTTCCATGGGGGAAGATCTTGCATTTTTTTGCTGAGATGTTCTGTTTTCCTGTTTGTTTCAACAATGTTTGGGACTCCTCACTGGGGATCCTCCTAGTAGGTGCTTGAAGACCTGTGTTGGACGGTCCCACAGCTGCCTCGTCCTGGCCTGGCCTTTGTGGTCTTTTCTGCTGGGTTGAGCTGGGGTTTCCCGGGTCTTTGGATGCGGAGTAACTGGGACCATGTTAATGTCTGTGCAGATGTGAGCACAGGCTGCAGGTGCTGGACGTCTCGTTCCAGCGCACATCTGTCTGTCTTGTCAGGGTGGCCCAGCCACAGTCCCACGGTGCATGCACACGGAGGGGGACATTGGGTGTGTCCTTACTGTCAGGGAACCACCCCAGCAGCTCTTGGATAACTTCACAGGTTGCTTTCCCCACTGGCCTCTCCGGGATCTTCGAGGCTCTGGATGCTCCCCCCGAGGTCCCCAGTGAGGATGTGGGGCTTTGCCGGATTACCCCGCTCTGCCCAGCCCTCACACGGCATGGGATAAGGGTTCTCCAGTTCTGGTCTCGGTCCTCAGTCCGCCTCGGCCGGTCTCCTTGCTCGTCCCAGGCAGACACTCCATCTGACCCGGGGCCCCTCCCTCCTTTTGGTTCTCAGAACACCGAGGAAGGTGCTGTGAAAAGTTAAAGGATGAACATACCGTCACAAGGCAGTGTTTTCATGTAGTATTTCAAAATTCTGTGGTGGTTTTCTCTTTTTCAGGGGGAGAAGTCCGTATCCATCGATGGGAAATGCAGCGACTCGACGCTGCTGAGCAACTTGCTGGAGGAGCTCAAAGCCACGCTGGCCAAGTGCTGAGCCTGGCCTGAGGCCTCGCCAACACAGGGCGCCACTGTTGACGTGGCGAGGTGACGCGTTGCGTTGATGTATCCTGTCGTTGTTTTTACTTTGATTCTCTGCCACTCCGTTTGGCGAGAAGCCCTGATGCCGTCCCCACCGGCAGGGCCCCCGCTAGCGAGGCCGGCCACCTGAGGAGCAGGCATCCCCGCCCTCGGGCTGTGGGTGCTCCGTGGACGTGGACGGCGCAGAGTGGTGTGTCCTTGCTTCCGTGAGGCCGTCTGAGTCCCACGAGTCCCCCAGATGCCCTGCCCGCGGGCATGAGCTCACTGCAGAGACGTTCCCCTTCACCCTCCCAGCCGTGGGTCAGGACATCTGGTGGCCAGAGGGTTGTGCAGGCTGCTGTCTGTCGTGTTCTCTGCGTCCCACTTGCGTGTTCATGTGTCGGATGGGGGGCTGCCACCCGCAGTGGGGGTCCAGTTGGGATCCCTGATGGAGCAGGACCTGGACCCTGTTGGTTTACGGTTTTTTTCCTGTTCAGTGAGATGTGTGTCCGTCGGCATTGTTTGGTGAGCGGTGGGACTGCTTGGGATTCCAGGCCCTTCCTGTCGCTGGATGCTCCACAGGGTCTGTCCCACATTATGCCCGCAGCTGCTGGGAAGGCGCACTCCTGGGGTGGCACTGGCCTCTGGAATGTAGCCCACGGAGTGGGGCCCGGGAACCCTGGACCACGCCCGTGAGATGCACTGCCTCAGAGGTGATGGTCCTCAATGACGTAACTTCCTTTTGACGAACACTGTCACTTTAGCATGTAGAGTAACCTATCACAGAATCCTGTGCGGTGATTCTAGAACCTCAGAATTGTATGATGTGTTCTATAAGAATTGATTTGCTATCGACATTCCCAGATAAAGGAGAGACATATCACGCTGCTGTAATGATTTTGTGTCAAGATGATCCAATAAACTTGTAAAACAGACAGTTATCCGTTGGGTGTGCTTCCCGTGCTGGTGAGCGCGCCTGGCAGTATAACGGGGACTCTGGACAGTCCTCAAACTGCCAGGGGGCTGGCCGGAGTCTGGGGGTCCCTGACCCTCCTGCCCATGCGCCCTTCCCCTCAGGATGGAGATGATGTCACCCCCATACGCTGTCCAGGCGCCCGAGCTTGGGCGGTGTGGCTAGAGCCGCCTGACCCATGGGCTACAGAGGTCCACCAGCGATGCACAGTGGACGTGCCCTCCCTGCCTTCCCCAGGGCACCCCACTAGTGAGGGGCATGTGGGTGAGCGGCGGGAACAGGTGCTGCGAGGCAGGCCCTGCTCACGTTGGTCTAATTGGCCACGTTTGCACTGGCTTTACTGACCCCATGTGGACAAGGGACAATTCGGGATGAGTAAGGCTGGGTCAGCAGACAGAAAGCCAGATCAGCCCTAGCTGGAATCGCAGGCGGGGAGTGCAGAGCCCGAGCACAGACGAGGCCTCGTGAGAGCCTTGGCCAGACCCACCTGCCAGCAGCGTCCCTGCTTGATGGTCATCCGTCCAGAAGCACCAGCCACAAGGCCTTTCTCCGTCTTCTCAGTGGAAAAAGCAGCGTGTCCCGTACCGTGTCGGACGCGGCGCTGGCCTGGCCACCAGCCTGTGCCCCCAGCACCCATCCCCTTGGATGGGCGCTCGGCCCATGAGACCGCTGTTCTCCACAGCCCGCCAGCATGTCGCTCCCCACCTGCCCCGCGGACTTTTCCTGACCTGGACAGACCGCTGCCAGCAGCACTTCCCGGCACGAGGCCACCTCCCAGCGGGACCCTGGTGCCCGAGCCCCTGCTGGTCTGCCGTGCAGATCAAGCACTTGGAGCCTCTCGTGAGCCACGTGGAGGGTTTGCAGAAGGAAACGACGCCAGGGGACAGTTCCCGTGCTCCTGTGGCTCAGGTTTAGTCCAGCGTGGCGTGAACCCCGAGAGATACCCAAGCTGGCCCTGGCTTTCACCAAACTGCAGTCTCACTTTTGAGTCCTCAGGAGCACCCATCCACCCACAAACTCCTGTCCATCCAAGTCTGCCCGGATGTGTTTAGATGGATTGCACTGAAATGGGCGTGGACGTCCCTGGGCCCTCAGTCCTGTCCCCGTTGCCCTGAGAAGGACCGCTGTGATGAGAAACATCAGGGACATTTAATAATTGCATCTAAAAGCTCTGTGACCCCGCCCAACAAAGCTGCATACCCCTCCCGGGGGCCCCCAGGCTCTGATGGGAGTGGAGGGACTTGAGGCAGCAGCAGGCCTGCTCCGTGGGGTCAGGCTGGGACAGTCCAGCTGTGTCCTGGCTCCACCTCCAGGCGAAGGCCGGTCTGGCAAACCCGGGGGCTGTCAGTGCTGTGTCAAGCACTCGGAAGCATTTTCCAGAGTCAGGTTGGCCAGGTGTGGGGGCTCGAGACACGTGAAGCTTGGTGATATCAGACTGTTGGGGAGACACGGGTGCCCTCAGCCCTTCTGTCCCTGCTCCACCTCACCGCCCCCCAGAGTCTTTGCTGGGGCCCTGGGGCCTGTGACAGGGCTGCAGACAAGACCCTCAAAGCTCAGCTTGGAGGCCCTGGCTTGTTTGACTCCTCTAGACAGCACTGGGGTTACGCCCAACACTCCCACAACAGGCTGCACAAACTGGGTGGGGGGCTTGGGCAGATTGGCCATTGGGCTTCGATCTCTGGCTTAGGCTCAACCCCTGTGTACGGAGCCGCCGGGGCTCCCAGCCTCCCTCCTCTGGGCCACTCACAAGGCTAGAGTGGTTCTGTGCATCCAGGGGAGGAGGAGCTGATGTTTATTCACGAAGTGATCACTTGGTTGTGGTTGCAGAGGAGACATCTGGCTTGTCCCAGGTGCAGAGATCCCTGCCGGCTGTGTCTGCCCTCTCCAACCCCTCCCTGTTCGTCCCCACCTCCCTTTCAGAAGGCCTGGTCAGAGCTTGGCGAGGACAGGCGGGGGGGGGGGGTGAGGGGGTGGCTTACCTTCTGTTCGTGTCCTGTCTGAAAGACACGACAGGGTCCCACTTGGCCCTCAGGTCCCTCCACTGGGGCAGATCCGTCACGGGGGCCCTCCCCAGCTCTGACCACTGTCCTGCCCCCCTTGTGCCTGCTGAACCCAGAGACGCTCGCGGAAGGAGCGGCTGGGGTCGCGGGCACTCGAGCCAGGCTCCACTCCTGTGGCTGCGCCGGCTCACACTCACCCACGAGCGCTCACGAGCACACTCACTGCCTCGGATGAAACTCACGTACTTGTGCCACTTATTTCTACAACGACAGCAGGGCTGGACTCAGGGGCTGGCAGGGCTGGGGGTCGGGGTGCCCTCCCGGAGCCCAGCTGCCCCAACTCACATGTACAGGAGGAGGCCCCGTACGGCTGCTTCCCACTGTGCCGACGACCTGCGGGCGCACGGGCGTGGAGATGGGGAGGCCCCGGGGCCAGAACCCTGCCCTCCCCGGGTGCTGGAAGGCCAGGGAGGGGCGGAGGAGGGTCCCAGGCTGGCCTCGGGCTTGGGGCCCCCACCCCAGCCTGAGCCCTACTCGCAGTTGTAGCCAAAGCAGACGACGTGCGAGTCGGTGCAGTTGGTGCAGGAGATGGTCTCGTACTGGAAGATGCCTGCAACACAGGAGAGACCGCCGCAGGCTCCCCCGCCTCGGCCTCCGGGGCGGCGGCCACCGCTGGGCCCCACGGGCTGCACGGGGCTCACTCACCACAGTGACGCTGACAGTCAATGCGGCCTGTGTGGGGACAAGAGGACCAACCTGTCTGTGCCCTGCTCCGGCCCACCCTTCCTGCCCTGCCCAAGACCCACCCAGGTGGCGCTCAGCCTGGGAGGGAGCAAACCGCTGTGGGAGGGCAGCAGCGGTGTTCACCCATGCCTCCAGGGTCCGGTAGGGCCAGGCGGCAGGGAGGGGTGGGGTTTATCCACGAAGCCTTGCCAATGCGCCCGGGATGGAAGGGGCCCTTCCCGGGGAGCTGCCCTTCTCCCCTTTGTGGCCCTCCTCCACCCACCCCCAGGCCCTTCATTTGCTCACTTTCGATGATGGCATTCTGGATGAGGTGCACCTGCTCCCGAAAGATGGCTCGCAGCTCATTGGGGAAATACCCTGATGGGGGTGGGCAGGAGGGAAGTCAGGCCCCGGCGGTGGGCAGAGGGGGGCAGTCTCCGTTTCCCCGCGCGTGGCTGCCGCCCGCTTACCGGGGAAATACATCTTGCCCTGGTACAGCTGATCCATCTTCTGGTACACGGCATTCGCCACTTGGTCCAGCTTCTCCTGGGCTGGGGGCGGGAGGAGGCAGGTGAGCGCCTGGGGCGGGGCGGGCCCGGGGGGTCTGGCGGGGGTCGGGCGGGCCCGGGGGGTCTGGCGGCGGGGGTCTGGGGGGCCCGGGGGTCCTGGCGGCGGGGGTCTGGGGGGCCTGGGGGGCCTGGCGGAGGGGGACCGGGGGCGTCCGGCGGGGCCGGGGGGCCTGGCGGCGGGGGTCGGGCGGGCCCGGGGGGCCTGACGGCGGGGGTCTGGGGGGCCTGGCGGCGGGGGTCGGGCGGGCCCGGGGGGCCTGGCGGCGGGGGTCTGGGGGGCCTGGCGGCGGGGGTCGGGCGGGCCCGGGGGGCCTGGCGGCGGGGGTCTGGGGGGCCTGGCGGCGGGGGTCCGGCGGCGCCCGAGAAGCGCCCGGGCGGGCCCCCCTCCTCTCCCGCACTCACTGATCTCCGCGGGGATGGCCAGGTGCAGCTCCTTCATCGTGTCCTGGCTCCAGTCGGTGAGCAGCGAGCCCGACACGGGGATGTCGCCCACCCACCAGGACTTGAGGTTCACGTGATGGCGGTAGAAGGAGAACTTCTCCGAGAAGTTGCTGTGGCAGTGCAGGCAGCCGCGGGCCAGCGCCGCCGTCAGGCCCAGGCACAGTAGCAGGGCCATGGCCCGCCGCCCGCCGCCCGCCGCCCGCCGCCCTCCAACCAACGGCGCCTCCCGTGCCACTCCCCCGGCTCAGGCCCCGCCCCCTCAACGGACAACTCTGGCCCCGCCCACGAGCCGCCCCTCCCAGGGGAAGCTTCAGCCCCGCCCTCAGGCCGCGCCCCACGCATGCGCCCACGGCACGCGCTAGCTCCTCCTTCCGGGCTGGCCCGGGCTGGAGGACCGGCCCGGGCTGGAGGACCGGCCCCGCGTTGCCGGCACTGCGCAAGCTCCGCCCCAGGCCTGGAGCCGCCGGCACCAGCCAATGGTGTCCCGGCCCGTTTCCGGTTGCCAGGCAACAGAGCGCGCGGCTGCGGGGAGCGCCCCCCCGTTCTAGACCTCGCCCCCCCGCCCCGGCTGCGCTTCCGGGGAGGCCCAGGCCGGTAGCGGAAGTCCATCTGTCTGGGCGGGGTGGCGGGGGCGGGCGGTGCGCTCTGTTGCTCCACGGCTGCGGAGGGGAGCGGGCGGTGGGCGCCGGACGCCGGACAGCCGCGAGCGCCGCCCGGCCAGTTGGGCGTGAGACCGCAGGTGGGTCCTCCGAGGGGCGACCGCGGGCGGCGGGGAGGCCGGGTCGCTCGGGAGGGGCGACCGCGGGCGGCGGGGAGGCCGGGTCCCTCGGGAGGGGCGAACGCGGGCGGCGGGGAGGCCGGGTCGCTCCGGAGGGGCGACCGCGGGCGGCGGGGAGGCCGGGTCGCTCGGGAGGGGCGAACGCGGGCGGCGGGGAGGCCGGGTCGCTCGGGAGGGGCGAACGCGGGCGGCGGGGAGGCCGGGTCCCTCGGGAGGGGCGACCGCGGGCGGCGGGGAGGCCCGGTCGCTCAGGAGGGGCGACCGCGGGCGGCGGGGAGGCCGGGTCGCTCGGGAGGGGCGAACGCGGGCGGCGGGGAGGCCGGGTCGCTCGGGAGGGGCGAACGCGGGCGGCGGGGAGGCCGGGTCCCTCGGGAGGGGGCGAACGCGGGCGGCGGGGAGGCCGGGTCGCTCCGGAGGGGCGACCGCGGGCGGCGGGGAGGCCGGGTCGCTCGGGAGGGGCGAACGCGGGCGGCGGGGAGGCCGGGTCCCTCGGGAGGGGCGAACGCGGGCGGCGGGGAGGCCGGGTCGCTCCGGAGGGGCGACCGCGGGCGGCGGGGAGGCCGGGTCCCTCGGGAGGGGCGAACGCGGGCGGCGGGGAGGCCGGGTCTCTCTGGAAGGGCGAACGCGGGCGGCGGGGAGGCCGGGTCGCTCGGGAGGGGCGAACGCGGGCGGCGGGGAGGCCGGGTCGCTCGGGAGGGGCGAACGCGGGCGGCGGGGAGGCCGGATCCCTCTGGAAGGGCGAACGCGGGCGGCGGGGAGGCCGGGTCCCTCTGGAAGGGCGAACGCGGGCGGCGGGGAGCCCCGGTCGCTCAGGAGGGGTGAACGCGGGCGGCGGGGAGGCCGGGCCCCTCGGGAGGGGCGACCGCGGGCGGCGGGGAGGGCGGTTCCCTCTGAGGGGCTACCGCGGGTGGCGGAGAGGCCGGATCTCTCCCAAGGGGCAGATGCGCTTTCTGGTTTTGGACTTGGTTCTGTGACACATGGCCCCATCCAACCGCTTCCTTCTTCCCGCCTCCACCACACATAAAGTTTGGGGCTCTTAGCCCATTTTACGGGCTCAGCCTGGAGTGATAGCAAAGGTCGCACCCCTGGCCAACACCAGGGCAGTGCACTGCAGCCTCCCCCGAGGTCCCCAGTTGACTGCTAAGGACTAATTGTGTCCCCGCGTGTTTGTGGCCACCTGTCGGGGTCCGTTCTCAGAACGCACTGAACCAGTCCACTGGTTACGGGTGAGAACAGAGCAAGTGGATGTCCTGCTTGCCCCTCCACTCCCCCCTGCAGGCACCCACCTCCTGCAGCACCCTGCTCGGGCCGTCTCCCGCCGTGGCGTTCCCTCTCGCTCACCCCAGCAGAGCTGAGTTGGCGGGTGCCACAGCCGAAGGCCACGTGTGGCGAGAGCCCTTTAAAACGGGCCTTGTCCAAATTGGGATGTGCTGCGGGCCCCACATACACACCAAGTCCCAGACACAGAGCGTGTCTCTTTTTAAAAAAAAAAAAAAAAAAAAAGGCAAAATGTCCATAACGTTTTCTATATCCGCTAGGTGTTGAAATGATATTTTGGCGTTCCTGGGTAAAATATGATACAGTATTAGTAGTGACCTCACCTGTTTCTTTGCACTTCTTCGCTTTTTAGCAAAGCTACTGGAAAGTTTGAAATCTCGCCCATGGCGCATGTTATATTCCTAGTGTTTTCTGTGACGTTCTTTCCACAAATGTCAGTCCAGTTCCTGATTTCACAGGATTCATTGTTTTCTGTGGCTTTAGTTAATTCTCAAATGGGGTAAGCTACTCAAGGATTTAACCAAATGCTTGGTGTATTGTAATTGAATTAGGGTTGGTTATAATTTTGTTTAAATTGAGGTTCAGAGCAAAACAGAGTGGAAGGTGGAGTTCCCCCAGACCCCCTCTCTCTGTAAATGCACAGCCTCCCCCATGACCAGCATCCCCGCCAGAGCCCGATGTTTGTGACAGCTGACAGACCAACACTGGGACATTATGAACGACAGGCCGCAGGGGACACCAGGGCTCACTGTGGGTTTGGACGAATGTCACGGGCAGCAATCCACCATCACAGCGTGGCACAGAGCAGTTCCTGGCCCTGCCGACCCTCCATGCTCCGCCCAGTCACCCTCCCCCACCCTGGCCACCGCAGATCCTCGTTCCGCCTCCGCGGTTCTGCGGTTTCCAGAACGTCCTAGACCCGGAACCACACGGTGTGCGGCCTTCTCAGCCCGGCTGCTCTCACCCAGGGACGTGCCGCTGAGGCTCCTCCGTGTCTCTGCCTGGCTCGGTAGTTTTTATTTGAACCTCCCTCCAGGGAGAGCACGTCCTTTTCATCTTTACATCTCTCAAAAGCTGATGAGCACAGTGTTTGGTACCAGGCGCCCCAAGTAACCTGGCGAGTTGAATTCTAGGTACACCTCCCTTCTCTCTCTCTCTCTCTCTCTCTCTCTTTCAGCAGAAGCAAAAGTGGTTATTTTACTTCCTCAGGGAGTTCTCAGAAATGCTAGTCCAGTTCCTGAACTTTTTTTTCTAAACAATTTTAGTCCGTTTGTTTCGTATGTACAGACGCTCCCAAGCCAAGACAGCTCAGTGAAAAGTCAGCTATTAATCATATTTCCGGTGCTCCAGTGCTTCGTAAAATGGAGCTTTAACAAAAATTCCCCAAGCAGCTGGCTCAGAGCTTGGGCTTTTACTCGGGGAAGTTTTAGATGTGCCCCAGCTGGAGAGCCCTGTTCCTGATTTCCTAGAATTTTGAGGTTCAGATTGCTTAAGCAAAAAAGGCAAATCCAGCTTCAGAAACCAGATTCTGGGAAGGAGACAGGCGCTTCTGCATCTCCTGAGTCCAAAATAAGACATCTGTGACGGGTCACTCTGTGCAGGGGCGTCCCGGGCACTGTGGGAGATGAGCAGCCTCCCCGGCCCCGTGTGCTCGATGCCAGGAGCACCCCAGGGGTCCCCAGACGTGGCCCAGCTTCTCTGGGGGCAGAGTGGCCCCAGGGAGACCTCCAGCGGAGCTGGGCACTGGGCACAGCACCCTGGAGAGAGTGCAGTCCGTGAGTGGACGGGCCTGGCCTGCTGTGGATGCGCAATGTCCCCTTCAGACAAGGGTCTTTGCAGAGTCAAGTGCAGGTCCTGAGCATCCTGATGCTAAAAGGAAGCTTGGACAGCCGGTGGGGGAGTCCGTGTTTGGACGGCAGTGAGGGGCTCTGCTTCTCATGCCCTGCCCTTCCTGATGTGCAGGCCTCTGCTCGGTGAAACGGGCGGGGGGCCTGGCGAAGAGGCGCAGCTCCCAAGCTGACGCCGGCATCCCTGCCAGCTCGCTGGCTGTCCCCTAGGTGACGTGGTTTTGTCAAACAGTATTTCAGTATTTGTCCCCGTGGTGGAGGAGGCACAGGGGGAGGCGTAGAGTCTGTGTGGGCCTGCGTGCACCCAGCACTGCCTCCGCCCTGGTGCGGCACAGGTGGGAGGCACAGGACACCTGGGCTCGCATCCAGGCCCCCCTCCTATTTGCTGTACGCTCTGACTCTGACGTCCTTCCCGCCTCTCCCGGCTTCTGGGGGTCCCAGGTAATCCTAGGCGCCCCTCAGCTTGTAGACCTGTCACCCCCTCTCTGCCGCTGTGGTCGCATGGCCCACTTCTCCGTGTGTCCGCGTCCAGATTTCCCTGTTCTTATAAGGATGCTTGTCATCGGCTGGGACCACCCTATCCAGTGTGACCTCATCTTTATATCCACAAAGACCCTATTTCCAAAGAGGGTCCCATTCACAGGTGCCGGTGGTATGTTTTGGGGGACACGATTCAACCCATAACAGGCGGATGGGGAGTGACTGCTGATGGGCACAGGGTTTTTTTTGAGGTGATGAGAATGTTCTAGAATTGTGGTGATGTTTGCCCTACTCTGATTTGACTAAAAGCCATTGAATTGTATACTTTAAAATTGTATACTGTTTACAGTATGTGAATTATATCATAATTGATTATAAAATAAAAGGGTTGTCATGAGGGCTGAAGTATGCAGAACCCCTTGATAGCACCTGGCCTGGTGTGGTCTCAGCAAACCACTTCCTGCCTTCCTACAAAACAGATTGGGGAACTTCACCCCAGCAGCAAAGACATGAGGGCCAAGTGCCAACAGAACGCCGCACCCCGTGGTGGGGGGCTGGAGCCACCTTCCTGTGAGTCCTGCAGGACGGCAGGTGGCTTCCCGCCCAGGGAGCAGTGCTGATATTTAAAAATCAACGTTTAGATGGTGGAAGACACTCTGGGGTGCGGCCTTCTTGGGCAGGACTGATCCTTGGGCTTCGAGCATCTTCTAGCCAAACACTCGGCTGCCCGGCCGGGAGCCAGGGTCTGCATGCTGGTCTAGAACACACGGGGCCGACCTGTGTGGTTGGGGCCTGTCCCGTCTAGGCCCCCCGCTCCAGCGCAGTGTCCCCGGAGCGGGGGCGCGGCCGCGGCTGAGGCAGGATGTGGAGGCACCGGAAGGAAGTGGCAGGGGCCGCGCTGCACCTCCCCGGGAGGGTCATGCAAGGCAGCTGCTTGGAGGAACTGTGTTTTGTTTGGTTTTTAGAAAAAGAGAGGGGGAAGAGGCTGTGTGTTGGGGCTGGGGAGTTTTGTCATCTTACCTTCATCAGTCTAGAAGTTTCTAAGTACCGCCCACCTTCATCTGAGGGAAGAACCTGGGCCACCAGCGGAGCCCTTAGCGTTGAACCCCCAGAAGCCCGTCCCACCTTCCCCTGCGCCATCCTCGGATGTGTCTGGGGAGAGCCAGGAACCAGGGCTGGGGGCTGGCGATGGGGGGTTGCCTCCTTCGGCGCTTCTCAAGGCAAAGGCACGCTGAGGTGGCTGGCCACCCCTCGGCCATGGGGCGCGTGTGTCCCCATAGAAAGCCCTTTGCTTGTGAGGGGAATTCTAACCATCAGGGGAGTTTTGCAGAAAATCCTCGCACATTCTGGGAGGAGACAGAGAGCGAGCATGAGGCCTGTGAGCCCTCCCCCCATCTTCCAGAACTGGCCTGATGCGCATCTGGTCCCTGCCACGGAGGCACGCGGACCCTGTCGTGCCCCTGAGGCCCCCTCCCACCCCACACGGCCCGCTTCTGTGCGGGTCGCAGGTCCCCAGGTGACGTGGTGGCAGGCCAAGCTCCCAGAGCCACCCCGAGAGGCCCCAACAGCGGGGCAGTGGCGGGTGCCTTTCCCCTGTCCCGGGATTGCTGCCTGGGTGCAGCTTAGCTGCGGGGTATGTGAGGAGCCCGGGGATCAGGCGGCGCTCGGCAGGAGCCGCGGTGGCCCCAGCCCGGCCGGACGAAGGACGCAACCCCCACCTCGTCTTCTCAAGCAGAGGGGTGTTTGCAGGTTGAAATGAGACCGTGAATGAGGAAGTTCGCGAGCCCTGCTGTCAGGTGGCGGGGGCACAAGTGACTTGCTCTTCCCGTCAGCCCGCAGGGGATTGCTGCCCCTTGACCTGCACCCAGGGTGGCCTGAGAGTGGCCAAGTTCGCAGATTAACCACCGGGGCAGGTAGGCAGGCTGCTTGGGCATGATCGGTCACAGGTGGGCCCGGGGTCCCCACCGGCCTGTCCAGCGCACCCGCCCACGGTGCGGAGGGGCCCTGGGCTGCAGGGGGGCGAGTGTGGCTGTGCCCTGTGCTCCGAGGTGCCACCTTCCCACCGTCCAGGCCCTGAGTGCCTGGGCCCGTGCCCGGGCCTGGGACCTGGAAAGCACCCCCACCCGTGTGTGCAGGGGTGCAGTAGGGGAATGGCCCCGGCCCGGGGGGTAGCTGGCCCTGACTTTGGGGCGAGACCGATGGACGCCTGGCTCATGGACAGCTGCTTTGCCATGGTGGCGTGTGTCCTGGCAGAAAGGGTGGTGGCTCCACCCACACAGCCCCGGGTTCGAGCTCCAGGCCCTCCCTGTCCGGTGTCTGAGCTAATCCTTAACCGGGTAGCGCCGAGTCACTGTCTTTAATGCAGGGTCTTTGACTCTGCCCCCACGGGACACTGGGCGGTGTCCTCACGACTGGGGGTGCTGCTCACCCCCCACAGCGCCCGGGACACCCCAATGTTAGCAGGGCCCAGGGGGCAGACCCGGTCCGGGCCCGTGTTCCCTTCTGCTCGGTGTGGCTGCCGCGTCCTCGGAGCGTGGCCAGGAAGTGCCCGGCCGGGAGCGGGCGCGGCAGGAAGTGACGGGAGCGGCCGTGGGGAAACAGGTGAAAGCACCTGTGTTCACGGCCCCGCGTCCCTCTTGCTTCAGAGCGGGCCTTGCCTGGAGTCACTCACGTGGACTCACACCCCGCATGGCCTTCCATGTCTGGTTCCCTCCCTGAGCGTCCCGCCCCCATCAACGGTCACTCCCCACCTTCTCCCCCGCCCCCACCCCCGAGCCCCCTTCCCATCCGCGGATGAGCCTGTTCCAGACGTGTCACCCACGTGGACTCACACCCCGCGTGGCCTTCCGTGTCTGGTTCCCTCCCTGAGCGTCCCGCCCCCATCAACGGTCACTCCCCACCTTCTCCCCCGCCCCCAACCCCGAGCCCCCTTCCCATCCGCGGATGAGCCCGTTCCAGACGTGTCACCCACGTGGACTCACACCCCGTGTGGCCTTCCATGTCCGGGTCCCTCCCTGAGCGTCCCCGCCCCCATCAACGGTCACTCCCCACCTTCTCCCCAGCCCCCAGCCCCCATGAGCCCCCTTCCCATCCGCGGATGAGCCCGTTCAGACGTGTCACCCACGTGGACTCACACTCCACGTGGCCTTCTGTGTCTGGCTCCCTCCCTGAGCGTCGTGGGCTCGGGGTCTGTCCCCGGGGCCGCACGTGTGGGCGCCTGGCTCCTGCTCGCGGCCGCGGGACGCTCCGGTGCGTGGGGGACACAGCTGGTTCACATGTCACCTGCTATGGACGTTTGGGTTGTTTCCACCCTGGGGTGATGATCACGAATCGTGCTGCTGCGAAGTGTGTAAGTTTCTGTGTGGACGTTTGTTGTCACTTGTCTTGGGGGTGCACCCGAGAGGCGGCCCCGTCTAACTGCTGGGCTGTTTCCCCAGCGGCTGCCCCGTCTTAGGCTCTGCCCGGCCACACACAAGGGGTCCGATTGCTGCGTGTCCTCATGGGCCCTGGTGATTGTCCTTCGTGCTGACAGCCGTTCTCGTGGAGAGTGGTGGTTCCCTCCCCTTCTCGCTGGGGTCTCTCCCGTCCCTCTGGCCCCATTGTCCTTGGCTAGCTCTTCCGTCCCTGATGCTCACCTCCGGTGTTCTGCATGGTTTATGCTGCCTCGAGCGGACCTCCCAGCACGCTTGCTGCACAGCTGGGCCCAGAAGGTGGTCGGGCTTCGCCGGTCAGCGCAGAGAAGGGGAGGCCTCGGGCCCACGTGTACCCAGGGCCTGGCCGGTGTCGCTCACAGCTGCTCTAGCCGGTGCTCGTTAGGATGCCCTGCGTAGCCTGGGACTGTTGGCTCCTCGGGGTTTCCAGGGCTGCTGTAACGAGTGACCACAAATTTCATGGCCTAAAGCAAAACGGATCTGTCATCTCACGGGTCTGGAGGTCACAGTCAAAATAGCACAGGAAGGACTGGTCCCCCTGGGGCTCCGGGAGACCCGGCTCCGGCCTTTTCTTGGCCTGCGGCCCCCCCTCCATCCTCACTGCCAGCAGTGCGGGGTCCGCCCATCTCTGGGACTCCCACCCTCTGCCTCCCCTTCGTGAGGACATGAAGCGAGAGAGCGAGCCCCCCGGAAACCCAGGGTCACCCCCACCTCGGGGCCGTGTGAGGGGACACGTCCCAGGTCCCGGGGCCACAATGGGGAGGTCTCTGGGGCCTTTATTCTTCCCACCATGTCCTCTCCCCTGACCAGGGCACATCGGGCCGTCTTGAGCCCTGTGAGCAGGGGTCCCGGGGACACACCGAGGCCGAGGCCGACACTGGCCAGGTTGGGCAGCCATGGCGGGGCGGGGGGGTCGCTCCATCTCTGCTGCCACCTCCCATCCGGCCCCACACCCCTCGGTGATCCCAGGAGGACCAGCTCTCGAGGCCCTGCCCGAGTGTTGCGGTCCCTCAGCCCCAAGCGCCCCGTGGGTCTGCACAGCCGCGGGGACAGTCGTCCGGCCCCAGCACCGGTTTAAGCCATTGGCACATTTCGTGTGGCGGCTGGAACGCCATCGCCGGCGTGGGGGGCCGGCCTGGCCTTTGGCCGCAGGGTGTCGGCCAAGTAGGCGAAGGAGCACAGACACACGGCCGCTGCTTCCCGCGTGGAGGGGCACCGGCTCTCGGGAGCCGCGCCTGCGGCAGTCGGGACGAAGCTCTGACCGCACGCTTGCTGGCAGCCGGGCGCCCCTGTTGTCAGCCTGACAGCTTCGTCCGGGGACCCCGCGTAGGCTCGCTCGGCTCCGCCGTTGGCCGAGGTGCTGACATCGAACCCGGCACTCTCTGCGGAGGCCGCCCTGGGTCCGGGGGGTGAGGGGCGTCCCACAGAAGCGGGGGGCGGGGGGCGGGGGCCCCCAGAAGCCGGGAGAGGCAGCAGCCCCCAGGAGTCCCGTTCCAGGTGTGGAACCTGCAGAACTTTCTGTCGTCAGGCTGCCAGGAGCCCTAGGTCTGGTGGGTTGCTGCAGCAGCGTGCTGGGGCTGGAGGGGCGGGCCACCTGACAACCAGCAGTCCCGAATCGGAGGGATGAACCCCACAGTTTAAGCAGAGAGAAACCAGGCAGGCATTTGCTGTAACGTAGACGGTGACTTGGGCGCAGGGCGTGCGATGGGGAGTGGGGCCACCGGCGGGTCCTTCCATTCCCCGTTGTCTGCAGACTTCCCCTTCAGTGCCGTGTGCCTGGTGAACTGCCAAGACCCCCACCCCGCCGGCCCCTCGGCGCCCGGCCTCCCCTGTCCCAGCCGCCGCTGTCCCAGCCCGGCCCACGCTCCCGGGAGCCGTGGTCCCGTGTTGGACAGGCTGGACCCAGACGGGCTCATCCAGGCTTCTGAGACGGGCAATGCGGTGGAGGGTGTCCCCCCAGAATTCATGTCCGCCCATTGGGAATGGGGCCTTTGCACACATCCTCGGGCAGCAAGACGAGGGCGTCCTGGGTTAGGGTGGGCCCCGATGCAACAAGGAGATTTAGGTGCAATGCGGGAACACAGAAATGACCCTTTCTCGGCTCTGGAGGCCAGTGCCCCAGCCGGGGTGTGGGCAGGGCTGGCTCCTTCAGAGGCCGTGGGGACGGCGCTCCTGCCTCCGCCCTCATGCAGCCTTCTCCCGCGTGTCTGTGTCTCCTCTTACCAGGACAGTTGTCGTCACACTAGGGGCACCTGGATGATCCAGAAGGAGCACAGCCCAAGATCCTTAATCACGTCTACAAAGAACCTTCCTCCAAATGAGGTCCCGTTTGTAGGTCCCAGGGACGTGGGCCTCTCTTCTCGGAGGCCACCACGAACCCGCTGCGGGCCCCCTTAGCCTCTGTGTGGATTTCCACACTCTGTCCCGCTGTACGAGAAAGCCCCCGGGCACGGGGGAGATGCCTCCAGCTCTGGCTTGTCGGGAGCTGTCTCCGTGTCTTCTGCTCTGAGGCAGTTGGGACCCGCCATGGACCATTTTGTCCACGGAGGAACGGGTGCTGTCTTGGTGAAACTGAAAACCGCGAGTGCTGGGAGCCTCGCAGTCCGGCCCCCTGGTGCTTCCAGAGCGGGGTCTCCAGAAACAGCTGACAGGTCCTCCCCTTTCTGTGTTGCAGGTCTCAGCGAATCTCCGTCGCCTCGGCTGCCACCTGACGCAAACATCCTGCCCGGGCCCCTCTGCAGAGGCGTCGCCAGGGAGCGCGCTGACCGGGCAGGGGGCCGAGATGTCCAACCCCTTCCTGAAGCAAGTTTTCAACAAGGACAAGACCTTCCGCCCCAAGCGCAAGTTCGAGCCGGGCACCCAGCGGTTCGAGCTGCACAAGAAGGCCCAGGCGTCGCTGAACGCGGGGCTGGACCTGAAGCTGGCCGTACAGCTGCCCCCTGGCGAGGAGCTCAGTGACTGGGTGGCCGTGCACGTGGTGGACTTCTTCAACCGCGTCAACCTCATCTACGGCACCATTGGTGACGGCTGCACGGAGCAGTCCTGCCCGGTCATGTCGGGCGGCCCCAAGTACGAGTATCGCTGGCAGGACGAGCACCAGTTCCGCAAGCCCACAGCGCTGTCGGCCCCCCGCTACATGGACCTGCTCATGGACTGGATCGAGGTGCAGATCAACAACGAGGAGCTCTTCCCCACCCACGTCGGTGAGTCAGGGGGCCGGGCGGGGCCGTGGGGGGCGCCAGGCCATTTAAAGTGTATTGTTTAGTGGCATTTAGGAATACGTTCGCAGAGTTCCAGAACATTCCACCACCGCGAAAGCAACCTGGTCCCCATCAGCGGTCATCCCCACCCCCCGCCCCAGTCCCGGCTCCCACCCTCTCCTCTCTGTCTGTGTGGACGGGACTCCTCTGGGGACCTCCTGGGAGTGGGGTCCTGCGGGATGTGTCCTTCGGGGTCTGGCTCCTCTCGCTGAGCCCAGTGTCCCCGGGGTCTGTTCACTTTGGTTGTTAGTACATTCACTGAGTTGTGCAACTCACTACTATCTAATTCCAGAACATTCCATCACCTGCAGGGAATCCCTTTCCCCAGAGTAGTCCCTCCCCATACCCCCCATCCCCCGGCCCCCACGAGCCCCCTTCCCGTCCGTGGATGAGCCTGTTCCGGACGTGTCACCCACGTGGACTCACACCCTGTGTGGCCTTCTGTGTCTCGTTCCCTCCCTGAGCGTCGTGGGCTTGGGGTCCGTCCCCGGGGCTGCACGTGTGGGCCCCTCACTCCTGTTCCTGGCCAAGGGACGTGCCTGCGTGTGGGGGACACATTCTGCTTTAAGTTAAGGACCCTGAGATGGGAGATGCCCCTGGATCATCCTGCTGAGCCCTGAATGTCATCACAAGGTCCTCATAAGAGGGAGGCAGGGGGAGATTGCACACGCGAGAGGAGAAGGTGGTTTGACAGCAGGGAAAGGAGGAAGGGACCATGAGCTTAGGAATGCCGGCAGCTTCCAGAGGAAGCAAGGAGACGGATTCTCCCCGGAGCCTCCAGAGGAACGGTCCTGCCGGCACCTCGACCCCGGCCCAGTGACATGGACTCAGAACTGTGAGAGATGCATGAGTTGTTTAAGCCGCTGAGCTGGTGGTGGTCTGTGACGGTGGCACTGGGAGACTCCCCGCAGACGTGGCTTTCACTGTCACCGTCAGCGTTGACGTGGCGTCCTGGAACACCAGTCAGGCAAACAGGTTTCCGGCCCAGCTCTGCACCCGCTCCAGCTTCTCCCCTGGGGCGCCCCCTCGCCACCTGCACCGGGAAAGGGCTGACACTGGCAGAGGGCTTTCAGGGGCCATCTGGGGAGAAGCCACCCCAGACTCATCCTTTCCCAAACTTGGGATTCCCAGTGGTCCCTCCATCAGGTTGCTGGGTCTGTGGGGCAGCCCTGGAGTCCACGTCGTCTGACTCCCCGCCTCGTTAGAATCCCCGCAAGTCCCACCAGCTCCTCAGGAGTCAGCACCCCAGAACGTGAGACGCCGCGCCTGCCCCTCGCCCATGGAAGGTGAATCCCTAGTTTACCAAACTGGATGCTGGTGAGAGGCAGAGAAAAGGAATTGGGCAGGGGCCACACGGCTGTCCAGCGGGACTCTGAGGCCAGGCCGCTGTTCTTCGGGCTCTCAGCACCCCTGGCCTCTCCTACGTGCTCACATCGGGGGGCCGGCCTGGCCTGGGCCGTACCTGCCGGCCCTGTTCCAGGACCCCAGCCAGGTGGCCAGACGACGTGCTTCCCACAGGCAGCCGTGTCTCTCTGCTTCCTGTCTTGGTGCTTCTGAGAATCGTGGCTGGGCACGCCTCAGGGTCAGATGTGTGGCTTGGCAGAGGGGACGGGTCACGTTACATGCCGGCCCGCGTGTTGGTTCTGCTCACACCTGTACACCCACTTAGGCCTCAAGCCACCGGCCTGTGCTCTTAATGTTAGACCGGTGGCGGGTACACCTGTCCTCACGGGGACCAGATGGTGAATCTCTCCGGCTTCACAGGCCAGTCTGTGTCTTGACCACTCGGATCTGCACCGTAGGCCAAAAGACCCCAGAAGCCGTTTGTAAACAAACAGGTGGCTCTGTGCCCCCATTAAACTTCATTTATAAAAGCCAGCGGCGGGCCAGGCGCGCCCTGTGTATCATCGCAAGCCCGTGCAGCGGCCGTTTCTGAGCCCGTCCCAGCCAGGCTCCCCCTTCACCCAGGCTTGCCCTTGGTGGCTGCCCGGCTGGGAGGGGGACACAGAGGGGGCAGCGGCAGCGTCGGACCCGGGCCCCGTGTAGGCCTGGAGCTGACCCAGGCATTCCACCCCGCCTTTCTCTGCTTCCCGTGGGCTTGACCCTCTTTCTGAGCTTGCACTGTTTTATCCACCAGTCGTGGACCCGAGTGCATAGGGATTCCCACCCCCCGAGGGGACCTCCCACCACGTGGCCTTCAGGGGTCTGCAAGGACAGTAGCTGCTCCTCAGGTTCCCACAAATTTGGGTTCATGGACGACCGTTGGGGTTCATCTCTGCAGAGTCGAGTGACAGGGAAAACTCAGAGGTCTCAGTGATGCCGAGCAAACCTTCCACGGGGTTAGCGGCCCAGGAACTGGGCCCTGGTTACCATTCAGAGATGCTTAGCACCGACTGAATACAAGTGCCACTGTTCTGGGCCGAGAGGCCACCCAGGCCCAGACACCGAGGAGGGGTCTGGCCGGACCCGTCCCGCACAGCTCACGGAGAGCCTTTTCTTTCCCGCTTGCCCTCGGCTCCACACCCGGCAGGCCTGCCCCGGTTGGAGAGCAGCCGTGCGGGCTCTGCGATGTCGGGGGCTGGCCCGTCTCGGCAGCGTTACCTGGCCCGTGCGCCCCGATGCTCACTGCCGTCCAGGTGCCGCAAGCGAGCGCCCGGTGCACCATAGCCTCCCGCAGCATCTCCGTGTGCACCCCCCGGGCTGTTAGCCCGCGGCCCCTCGCACGTTCTTCCCAGGCCCCGGCAGCCACCTGCTGGTGCTCGCTGCGCCTGGCTGTGCCGTGGGACAGACACGTGCTCGGGGCGGCAGGGGGTGCCTAACACACAGACTGCGCCGGGGGGGGGCCGGCACGGGGACCCCCCATAGGGGCATTTCACCACAGTCAGGAAAAACGGAGCATTAAACCCACAGTAGGAGTTACAACGTGTGCACGTTCGCAATTAAGTTGTGTCATCGCTCGAACGTAGGTGACGTTATAAAGACGCGCTCGAGGTGGGGAGAAATACACCAAGTGAAAGATGTCTGACGGCAAAAATACGTTTTTACGGGTTGCCCCATTTTATTAGGAGAAATAAGCCTAACCAGAAATACACGCCCAGGGCCCAGAACCTGCGGTGGGGCTCGCAGATCCCCGGCCCGCGGACGCGGAGGGAAGGGGAGGGAGGGGGCGCTGCCCGCTCTGACGCGGGCCCGGGTCCCATGGGGAGGCGTGTGGCCGGCGTGTCCCCTGCGGTCCTGGCTCTGCGGCGGGAGGGCGTCCCTGGTCCGCGAGGGCCGCAGGCCAGGGCCCAGGATGGGGGTGCTTGCCAGCCTGCCTGAGCCCCTCGCTCTGTGTGCAGGCACGCCGTTCCCCAAGAACTTCCTGCAGGTGGTGAAGAAGATCCTGTCACGGCTGTTCCGCGTGTTCGTGCACGTCTACATCCACCACTTCGACCGCATCGCGCAGATGGGCTCCGAGGCTCACGTCAACACCTGCTACAAGCACTTCTACTACTTCGTCAAGGAGTTCGGCCTCATCGACACCAAGGAGCTGGAGCCGCTGGTGAGCGGGGCGGCGGGGGGCGGGGGGCGTTGGGTCCGGGCAGCCCGGAGCGGACAGAGTGAGCCGAGGTAGGTTCCTCGGATTTGGGCCCAAGTTTGTGACACGGCGACCCTGGGCGTGGCCGCAGATGGAGGGGGTGCTGCTCAGATTCCTGGCACGTGGGACCCACCCGCTGGGGTGGTTTTGGGTTCCTTTTGCTCCCTGCTCCGGCTGGCGGGCCCGGTGGGGATGTGGCTGCCCACGTGAACACCCCGGCCCCTGCGAGAGGCAGAGGTCCTGAATCCTGGGGGGCTCCCCGGGGAGGTTCCTGCGGCTGCCCCCCTTGCCCTGTGGGAGACACTGGGGGGGTCTCCAGTGCCGTAAACAGCAGCGGCCAGGGGGCTGGCCCGGGGCATCCCCGTCTCCCCTGCCCGCGTCCTCACTGCCTGGCCGGAGAGCAGGCAATGATTTATTTCTAATTGAGGTAAACTCCACATAAGTTAAAATCATCCGTTGTGAACTGAATGATTCAGTGGCATTTAATACATTCACAAGGTGCTAAAACCATCACCATGCCTTCTAGTTCCAGAACATTCCATCGCCCCAGATGAAGCCCCATCCCCACTGGCAGGCACGCCCCAGCCCCCGTCCCAGCCCACGGCACCCTCGAACCCACCCTCTGGCTGTGGATTTGCAGCTGGAGCCGTGTTGACCCCAGCCCAGAGATGGGGCGACTCAGGCAACGAGATGGCTCCCTGGGGCCCCTCCCCCACCACTCTCCCAAACTGCTGTGGGCTCTTAGCGGGACCTGTGAGGTCAGAGGCGGCAGGTGGCTGCTCTCCAAGTACCCACCAGCTGCCGCCACCACTGGTGACAAGGGTGGAGAACACCCCCCCCAGGAGGTCCCGGTGAGGCCAGTGCTCGGAGCCCCCCAGGGCCATTCCAGGGGGCGGGGATCTCCCCAGGCGCGGAAATGCTAGAATGTTCCAGGGCCAGTGGGCCCTGAGCTTGCGGGTTGGCTGCTAGGGGACTGAGATCATCACTCTGGGGGTCCCCACGGCTTCCTTTGCATGACCCCAGGACTCCCATGTGGGCTTTTTTTCTTCTTCTTGTTTTTTGTGGATTTCTCCACTGATTCAGGTCTTTGAACTCTATTCTTGCCCAGTTTTCAACAGTTGTTGAATTACTCTCCACACAACCTTTCCCAGTTTCTCTGGGTCCTTGCAGGCTCTGCCTGTCAGTGGACTTTCCCAGAGTTGAAGTTACTGCAGGCATGCCTAATGGGGAGGAGGTTACTCCGAGCCGGTGGAATGTTCTGGAACTGGATAGACGAAGGGTACACGCCATTGTGGCTGTGAATGCTGATGAATTGTTCGCCTTACGATGGGTACTCTTATGTGACGGTCATCTCCATCCATGTATTACTTACAAAATACTACAAATTGGAACCTGCAGTTTTGTGATCTGCTTGCTTTTCTCTTTTTGTTTTAACTTAGTGCCTTGATCTCCTTGTCATTTCTTCCACATCAATGCTTAGAGTTCTTTCTTTTTTTTTTAAGATTTTATTTATTTGAGGGGCGCCTGGATGGCTCAGTCGTTCAGCGTCTGCCTTCGGCTCAGGTCATGATCCCAGGGTCTTGGGATCGAGCCCTGCATCGGGCTCCCTGCTCTGCGGGAAGCCTGCTTCTCCCTCTCCCACTCCCCCTGCTTGTGTTCCCTCTCTCGCTGTGTCTCTCTCTGTCAAATAAATAAATAAAATCTTTTAAAAAAAAAAAGATTTTATTTATTTGAGAGAGAGAGAGCGCACGTGCGCACCAGAGCAGGAGAGGGCCAGAGGGAGAAGCAGACTCCCCGCTGAGCAGGGAGCCCGATGCGGGGCTCCATCCCGGGGCCCTGGGGTCATGAACTGAGCTGAAGGCAGACGCTTAACCGACGGAGCCCCCCAGACGCCCAGTGCTTCGAGTTCTTTCTGGCGCCAGGCAGAGGATAAAGCGCTTAAGCTCGTGACTTCCCCAGGCCGTGTGTAGACGAAGTGGGTGCTGATCTGCCCGGCTGCCCTGTGCACCGAGGCTTCCGGGCTCTGTCTTGTAGAACGTGGCGGGATGCCTTCATGTCCGGCTTTTTTGCATTTGTCGTTCATCTGTCGGGACAGACTCTCAAGGCTGCCATCACCGGGTCTAAAGGGTGTATCATAGTATTCATCTTTACTTCCAGGCTGCTTTCCGGAAGTTTCCTTGCAGTGTCCAGTCGACTGTAGAAGGCACGAATCAGTACACTGTGGCCCCGGGCTGACTGCCTGGTTTTGTGAATAAAGTTTTATTGGCATGCAGGCAGTTAGTCGTTTCTGCGTTGCTGGGGCCACGCTCCCTCGACAGGCCGGGACACTGCCTCTCTGGCCCTTCCCAGGAGGCGTGCCACCCCGGGCCCACAGCACACTGTTACCGTCGCATTGTTTGTAAGGTTTGGCGTTAAATGAGGCCTGCGGGCCCCTGGAGACCGGATCCCCTGCTTTTCCATTTGTGTGTGGTTTCCGTCCCCCTTGTGTCGATACCTGACATCTTGCTTGTTCTTAACAGAAAGAAATGACCGCACGGATGTGCCACTGAGAGCCCCTCGGGCCCGCAGTCACCGAGGCCGTGCCCAGGGGACACCCACGCTCAAGGGCCACGGCTCCAGAACACGGACCCGTGCTTTATAGAAAGCCCAGCCAGCGGGCGAGCTTGGTGCTGTGGAGGCTGCACTGAACGCCGGGGTGGAGTCCTCTCCGATCCCAGTGGGCAGCCGCCGTGGGTCTGCATGCGGCCATCCTGAACCCGTCTCCTTGAGAGGCGGCGAACTTGAACTCCGTGGTTCTGCGTGTTGAGCACCTGGGCCCATGCACTTTGTGAACCACTAGCATTTGCTCTGTGGTTCGGCCCAGACCAGCCGCCGCGTGCAGCCAGCGCCCGGGGGCCCCGTGTCCGCTTCACGACTCGCACGACGGGGACCCCACGCCCGCTCCCCAGCTTTCCCGGGCCCCTTCGTGGATCGTGAGAGATTGGAGTTTTCTCCGTGTGAGCCCTCCTCCCCTTTAGAAAACTGTCGCCTCTCCCTTATGAATATCACAGGATGACTCTCCCGTGGAACCCCCCTCCCGGGCTGGAACCTTTTGAGTTTTGCCAAATGATTAGCTGGAGTTAGCCTTTCTGCAGATGCCTGCCCAACTTTACGTGGAAGCCCTGTGTTTGCGTGGCCCTGTGTGGCTATGAGACCCAAATCCCAGCACTGTCTCCCGTGGACCTTGGGAGGGTGGCCAGGGCCCTGTCTGGGCCACGCTGAAGTGACCCCCGGAGCCCCATTCTGCCTGTGCCTGCACCCCGCCCGCGCGCAGCGTCCTCGGTGGCCTTCTCCGTGGCACCCTTCCAGTGTGGACCGCACCGACTCGGAGTACCTCTGGGTGTTGGGTGCTCGCAGGAGTGAGGAGCACCATCACCCACGCCAATAAGTGCAATTAACACGACCTTGGCCTCGGTCCTTCTGGAAACCCCCAGGGTCCAGCTCGAGGAGGCCCCTTCCGATCGAATGTAGCTCCCTTTAAGTGCAAAACCTCAGCCAAGCACCGTGACCACTGTGTCCCCCAGGGCTGTGGGCTGTCCCCACAGCGCAGCCAGGTCAGGGAAGGTGGCAGGGACTCCTCTCCACCCTCCCTGCCCACAGCTCTTCCCGCACGAGCATCAGAATACACTGTGCCATCTTTGTACCCGCATCTGCCGCTTGTCATTTCCACTTCCCTGGCCTCAGGGTCTGGTGTTGGGCCATGTCCCTGCCCTTGTCCCCGGGGTGCCCTTGTCCCCAGCAGCTGAGGGCTCGTGGCTCGCCAAAGTGCCCCCAAATGGCTAAACAGATGCACAGAATCGGTGAGGTTAGGATTCCATGGGCTACAGCCTGGGTGGGGAGGTCAGAACTGAGAAACTGAGGCAGGCGCACGCTCCCTCTCCCATTTCTGTTCTGTCTGAGCGTTTTTCCCGGCCCTTAAACACGATTTTAACTCTTGCCTTTCTGCTGTGTGAGAGAGGGAGCCAGAAAACGACCCTTGTGCGGAGTAGATTAGGAGAGCGAAACCAGAGAGGGGTTTCCTGCCAACTAGCTCTGGCTGGGGGCACCTGATTCGTGCACCCTGAGAGCCCTTTCTTCTGTGTGGGAAGTGGGATTGGATTGCGTCCTCCCAGGGGTCCAGGCTGGGGTCTCTGGCAAAATGGGAGCAGGTGGGGCCAGGGCCTGGGGCCAGGGCTGGCTGCTTGCCCCTAGAGGGCGCACCGTCTCCACGCGAGGGGAGCCGCCTCTCAGCAATTACGTTATTTGGAAAGACCTCAAGAAGCCATTGTTTCCTTACCCGCTGATTTTGCAAATGCACCACAACAGTTTCCAGAACCCGCTAAGAATTTGGGAGCTGTTATTATTTGTAATGTCCCCCAAGGATGTCCCCATCCTGCCCCCCCCCCGAACCTGGGACGTGTCCTCTCACGCGGCAGAAGGGACCTTGTCACGGCCCCCGAGGTGGGGGTGACCCTGGGTTCCTGGGGGGCCCGGCGTCTTCATGAGACCCTCACAAGAGGGAGGCAGAGGGTGGGAGTCCCAAAGATGGGCAGACCCCGCGCTGCTCGCGGTGAGGATGGAGGGGGCGCCGCAGGCCAGGAAGAGGCCGGAGCGGGGGGCCCTGGGGGGACCAGCCCTGCCCACTCTGGGGTTTTAGGACTTCTGAGCCCAGAACTGAGAATCAGTCCATGTGGTGTTAAGCCCTAAGTTGGCGGTGACCTGTCGCAGCGGCCGTGGGAGGCTCAGACCCCTGTTAGAAGGAAACGTTTTGCCCACAGAAGGCCTGGCACCCCTTACCCTGGGCTACTGGGAATGCCGGAGTCAGAGGCCAGCCCCCAAGGGACTCCTCCCTCCATGCCCAGAGTCACTCATCCTCCCAGGGCGGGTCACCCCAGAACTTGTCCAGCCGGGAGAGGTGATGGACAGGCGCCGGACTGGGAGGGGGTGGGAGAGGGCGGCAGCCGTGTTGCTGGGACCCGGCCAGCACACGAGGGACTGTCCTTCCAGTGGACATGACACAGCAGGCAGCCTCCGTGTCTGGGAAAGCGCTCTTATGCAGCTCGGCAGCTGCTTGCTGAGCCCTCTGAGATCGGGAGCCCCCGCTACTGGAAATTTCCTCCCGGGGGCGGCATTATCCCTAGACCCACGCTGGCCAGCGTAGCAGCCACGAGCCCCCGAGGACAGTGAGAACCGCTCAGCTTCTCAGTCACAAGAGCCCTGCTCAGCTGCGTCCCCAGACGCTCCTGGTCGGAAGCAAAGTCAAGGCGGGGACGGTTCAAATCCTCCCCGGTTCATAACAACCGACGGCTAAGTCTGGGAACATGGTACTGGTCCCCGTCTTGACCACGGAGGGGAGAGGCAGCGTGGGGCCACACGTGGGGGCGGGCCGGGCTGATGCAGGGCAGGGCCCTGCAGGAGGCCGGGCCCAGCATGGGACACATCGCTCCTGGCTGTTGGCAGCACTTACTGGTGACAGTTCTCTAGTCAAATCTTTACAAATACCGCTGGTTATGGATGTAGGTAGAATGCCAGGGTTGGTGCCCATGTCAGAGGGCATCATGTGGTGGGACATTTCGAGGCACTGAGCCGTACCCTGCAGAAAGGGGGCACCAATTTACGCTCCCAGCAACACGTCTCATGGATTCCATTCCCTCACATCCCCCCTCCCAACGCTGGATGGTAGGCCGTGTGTCATTTACCAGTTTGATAGGAAAACATCCTCAATGCACTTGACCATTTATATTGCCAGTTTATAGCCTTTGTCCATTTTTCCATTGGGAAGAGGTCTTTTCTTATTGGTTTATAAAAACTCTTTACATATTGGACTTACAGACCTTTTAAAATACTCGTTTATTCAAGCTCTTCTATTATAATTTGTCATATGTTACACCAATGTCTCCTGGTTTCTTGTTTATCTTTAACATTATTTATGATCATTTCAACATACTTTTTTTTTTTTTTTTGGAGCTTTCACATTTTTGGTCATTCTTTTCCTTGATGTTTTCTACCCTTGGTGACAAGCTTACAAACTTGGGCTGGGGAAACCTTTATGCAAATATTCACCACTGTTTTCTTCCGCTTCTTATATAGTTTTCTTCTTTTTTTTAAATATTTTTTTAAAAGGGCGCCTGGATGGCTCAGTTGGTTAAGCAACTGCCTTCGGCTCAGGTCATGATTCCAGAGTCCTGGGATCGAGTCCCACATCGGGCTCCCGGCTCAGCGGGAAGCCTGCTTCTCCCTCTGACCCTCTCCCCTCTCATGCTGTTTCTCTGTCTCTCTCTCTTTCTCTCAAATAAATAAATAAAATCTTTAAAAATAAATAAATAAATAAATAATAAAAAATATTTTTTTAAAAGATTTTACCCATTTCTTTGACACAGAGAGAGAGAGGGAACACAAGCAGGGGGAGCAGCAGAGGGAAAGAGAGAATCTCAAGCAGACTCCCTGCTGAGCACAAAGCCCAACGTGGGGCTTGATCCACGACCCTGACATCATGACCTGAGACCATGCTGAGTCAGACACTCAACCAACTGCACCCCCCAGGCGCCCCGGAAATGTTTATTTTTTTAATAACTGGGAACCCCCTAATCCAGCACCATGTGATCCTTCCACACAGAGCAGAAATGCTACTTACTTCCACAGTGCTCCGTTTCTGGGGTTCCTAGTTTGCTCCCTCTGGTTTTAATGTACCTTGTAAACTAGAGTAATTACAATATCTGGCATCATCAATCCCTCACTATTATTGTTTTTTAATATTTTCTGGACTATTTTAAGTACATAGTCCAAATGAACTTTAGAATATTCTTTTAAGTTCCCAAAACATTGCTTCTGTGACTTCGGTGAAAATCGTCCATTTCCAAAACAGTGTGTTTGGGCCCAGGTTCATTCTGGAAGGTAGTTTGGTCCCTGTGGCCTCGCACAGCTTTCCATTTACCCCAGCCACACACGTCCCTCTGTCATTTCCAGCACGTGGCAGCTCTGTGCTTCATTTCCCTTTTTTTTTCCTTCATGTGATTTTTTAAATGGTATATGTGACATGCTGTAAAAATCGCCATTTTAGGGGCTCCTGGGTGGCTCAGTCACTGGGCGTCTGCCTTCAGCTCGGGTCATGATCCCAGGGTCCTGGGATCAAGCCCCGCATCGGGCTCCCTGCTCTGCGGGAAGCCTGCTTCTCCCTCTCCCACTCCCCCTGCTTGTGTTCCCTCTCTGTCTGTCTCTGTCAAATAAATAAATAAGATCTTAAAAAAAAGGGGCGCCTGGGTGGCTCAGTTGTTGGGCGTCTGCCTTCGGCTCGGGTTGTGGTCCCAGGGTCCTGGGATTGAGCCCTGCATCGAGACCCGCATCGAGCCCAGCATCGGGCTCCCTGCTCTGCAGGAAGCCTGCTTCTCCCTCTCCCACTCCCCCTGCTTGTGTTCCCTCTCTCGCTGTGTCTCTCTGTCAAAATAAATAAATAAAATCTTAAAAAAAAAAAAAATCTTAAAAAAAAAAAGAATTTTTTTAAGATTTATTTTTAAGTAATTTCCATACTCGACATGGAACTCGAACTTACAACCCCAAGATCAAGAGTCACACGCTCCACCAACTGAACCAGTCAGGCACCCCTGAATATATTTTTCCCTTTTTTAAGATTTTATTTATTTATTTGAGAGAGTGCGAACAGGGGACAGGGATAGAGGGAGAGGGAGAAGCAGACTCCCTACTGAGCAAGGAGCCCGATGTAGGGCTCGATCCCAGGACCCTGAGATCATGACCAGAGCCGAAGGCAGACTCAACCCACTGAGTCACCCAGGTGCCCCCCATATTCATTTTTTAAGGGCAGAATCTATAGATACCATTTCATAGATGATCATACTGGCAAAATTAAGTTCAAGGTGCTTATATATATGTGCATATATATGCACATAGGTTTATATATATATATATACACACACAGTTAATCACTAATAAAATGTAAAACAATATATATCCTTTTAGATTAGAGAGACAAAGACAGGAAAAACAGCATCTACAAAAGATTGAAAATTCAGAAAACAGCAAGGATGAATATTTTATTTTTTAAAGGATTTATTTAGAGAGAGAGAGATCGCGTGTGCATGCAGGGGGTAGGGGCAGAAGGAGAGGGAGAATCCCAGGCAGACTCCCCACTGAACACGGATCCCACACCCCTGAGATCACGCCTGAGCTGAAATCCAGAGTCGGATGCTCAACTGACCGAGCCACCCAGGCGCCCCAAGAATGAATATTTTAAAGCATAACACAAGATTAGGACATTAAAAACACATCAGTCATGGGTCAGGGGCTAAATGGAGCCCACCACCTGTTTTTGCAAATAAAGCTTTATCAGCACACAGCTCTGCTCATTCATTTGCCTGCGATCTAGGGCACTCTTGCACTACAATGGCAGAGATGGGCCGCTACAAAAGAGACCCCGAGCCCCCGGAGCTGAAAATAGCCGCTCCAGGCTTTTGCAGAAAAAGTTGGCCACTGCCCGATGTAGAGACACAGGCTGATTCTCCCGTTAAAATACAAGAACCTCACAGAGGGGTCAACCCCAAACCTTCACACTTTCTTCTTTTCAGACAAACACAGTGGTGATGCTTGCACAGCTCTGAATGTACTGCGGCCCCCGCGATAAATAAAGCTTTATCAGCACACAGCCCGAGCTGTACACTTTCAATGGGAGAGTCTTAACGGTATGTGATTTCTATCCACATAAAGCTGTGATTAAAAAAAAAAAAAAAGACACAGAACAGTTCAAAGCAGGTCAGGCAAAGTTTTATCAAAGCAAAGCAAAGCAAACCATGAGAAAGCAGGAATTGCAGTATTAATATATATAAGACACAGTACAGTTGACCCTTGAGCAACAGTGGGTGATTCGGGGCCGCGAACCCCCACACAGTTGAATATTCCACATATAACTTTTGACTTCCCCCAGACCTAGCTACTGACAGCCTACCGTTGACCAGCAGCTTCAGCGATCACGTTAACAGTGGACTAACACATACTGTGTGTGTTCTAGGTCCTCTATCCCGTGTTTTCACAACAAGCTGGGGAAAGAAAACGTTATTAAGAAAATCACAAGGGGGGGCGCCTGGGTGGCTCAGTCGGTTGGGCGTCTGCCTTCGGCTCGGGTCAGGGTCCCGGGGTCCTGGGATTGAGCCCCGCGTCGGGCTCCCTGCTCCGCGGGGGGCCTGCTTCTCCCTCTGCCTCTGCCTGCCGCTCTGCCTACTTGTGCTATCTCTCTGTCAGATAAATAAATAAAATCTTTTTAAAAATAAACAAGTAAAATAAATAAGAACCAAAAAAAACCTGTCAGGGCTACACTTATAGCAGTAAAACCAGAAATTAATAGCCAGGTGTTAAACAAGTCTCAGCCACTGGAACATACAGCGCCTTCTCCTGAGTGCCTCTGGAGCCGGAGAACAGCCTCAATCTTAAGGGACGAGCCCTTAAGTAGCGGAGGGTCAGACAAAGTCTGTGCACATCAGCTGCACTGTGTAAACTGCAGCTTGCAGACACACGTCTTCAAGAGCCGCTGCATTAGCTGTTTGTTGTTAGTAACGAGTCAGCTGTATTAGTCAGCTACTGCTGCGTAACAAACAACACGCAGTTGCTATCTCACGGTTTCCACGGGCCGGAGTCCCCTGCTCAGGCTGCTGGCAAGGTGTCTGCAGGGGCTGGGGTCCCACCTGGAGGCTCCACCAGGGATGGATCTGCTTCCAAGCTTCCGTGGTTGGTGGCAGAAGTCAGCTTCCTGCAGTTGCAGGACTGAGGGCTTCAGTGTCTTGCTGGCTGTCCAGCAGAGGCCCCCTCAGCTCCCTGCCCCACGGGCCACCCTGGCGTAGCCACGTGCTTCACCAGAGCCCGAGGGGGCCAGACGAGCTCTCCCACCTGATGTGACCGTCACCCCACTCACTGGTCAGAAGCGAGTCCTGGGTCCCACCCACACTGTGGGAAGGGGACCGAACAAGGGCACAGCCACCAGGAGGCGGTCACTCACTGAGGGGAAGCGACGGTCCTTGAATCCCGAAACTCCATCACGTGACAGGAACACAGAGCAGGTGGCCTTTGAGGACATGAAGGTGGTTGGAGCTGTTTGTCCCTAGAGACAGTACTGCTCCTGGAACATTCTGGATGTTTCCTCCTGCACCCACCTGGGGAGGGTCTCTCTAGACCAGGGTCTGTCCCCCCAGCACTGCTAACATTCAGGGCTGGATTATTCTCTTGAGGGCGTCCAGACACTGTGGGGGCTGAGCAGCCCCTCTGGCCCCGGCCACTGGACAGCAGGAGCACCCCCCCATCGGGACGGCCACAGATGTCCCCAGACGTGGCCCCGTGACCCCTGGGGCAGAACCAGGGCCAGCTGCAAAGGCTGTAGGGGAAGTTCCTGGCTCAGGAGGCTGGCGCCTTCCTCGTCAGCCGCGACTTCACACCCTCCCAGCACGGTCTCCCAGCATGTCTTGTAACATTTCTTGTGAGCGAGGTGTTCTCTCAAACGCCTTGTTTCCTGTTGCCAGTGTTCTTCAAAAGCACGGTCCCGGGCTCAGCTCTCGATGTGCAGCGTAGCCGACTCCCAGGCCCCCGCGGGCTTCCTGCTCTGTGTTCATGCAGAGATTCTTTCTGTCGTTGACCTGCCGTGGCCAGGAAGTGTGCCAGGCCCTGGCTGGCGTCTGCGTGCCGTCCAGGCTCATGGGACCGCGGGCTGCCCTTCATGTCCGCCCAGCACGGCCGTCCCCCCGTCCCCACGCTCCGTCACAAACCACCAACGTGCTGGCTTCTGCTGTTGTTAAACATCATTAATAAGATGGTGTTGGCGTGCTACCCAAGTCACCCATCTGAAGTGAACAGCAGTATTTGGCAAAATTGTGCAATCATCACCTCAGTCTA